TAGTGTCACTGCTCTTAGGTGCTCTCAATGGACATACATATATATAGACACACAGTCACATCAGCATTTTACAGCTATTTATATATAGAAAAAACCATGCCAGCGCCTCCATCTCCTATACAGTACCACAGGTTTCCACATTTGTAACTCCCTTCTCTGACAGAAAAACCTGTCTTTCATTATTCCTATTATATTTATACATTTTATCAACCCTCCATTATATAAATAATCATCCATTGCTTCTCCCATCTCCTCCTCAGCACAAATGCTCTTTTTGCCTCATTGGGGATCTAACACCCTGTGCCCTGGCCACTGTTCTATTTGACAGTCTTCTCAACTGCTTAGGCTCTCACACCCCCGTGCAAGGCTACCCCTAACATGTGGATGCCCTCTTCTGACACTTTGCAGTGGACCACACCCAGGCAAAGACTCCTCACTATATTTTGGCTCTGATGTGTCAGTCCCTCCGCCCCCAAGCAGGTACTTTAATCACTTTGCTGGGACTCAGAAACTGCACACCAGAGCAGTGGACCACACCCAGGCAAAGACTCCTCACTCTATTTGGGCTCTGATGTGTCAGTCCCTCCACCCCCAAGCAGGTACTTTAATCACTTTCTGGGACTCAGAAACTCCACACCAGAGCACTTCCATGCAGACTTGTCCTTCTCATTCTGCTCAGGCTCTGAGTCCTCGTGGTAGGTTGTCCCTTAGCTTGGATACACTCTTCCTGCCTTTCAGACTTCAACACTCCAGTTCAGACAGTTATCCTGCTGAATGCCCTCCTTACACTGCTGAAGCTCTGGCTGCCTATGCTGTCTGCCTTCCATGGAGAATCCCTCACCTCATTCAGATTGCTCACCCCGTGTAGGCACATTCTTCATACTGGTTGGTCTCCAGCAGTCTGCCCTGGGTTACTCCATTCCTTGCGTGAACAGTCCTCTTCTCCATCTTGATAACCCATACCAGACTACCTCTTTGCTTATTTTTAAAACATGTATTTTCTCTGATTTTATGTTTTGCTGCTAACATCTTAGAAGTGATGTATTACAATTTTAAAATTAGGATAAGATCAAGTACAGTGGCTGTATTTTTCAAAACAAAAGTTGGAATATGACCAAATTATAACATCAAATACTTGAAATAAGTACTATCCTGAATATTTTGAGATATTTGATTACCACTATAATAAAGAACAAAGCAGAGTTTCAATTTCTAGTTATGGAGGAACAGCTCCTGTTGAAACAAATTTCCAACAGATAATAACTATAGATTCTGGACAAAATATGAACAAAATCTGTTACCTAAAGGCAATGAAAAATGACCAAAACCAACTTGTTTTTGCAGTTTTTTTTGTGTGTTTTTTCTAAAGGGCAGGCCCTAGGGTGACCAAAACTTTGGCAGATAGCCCATAGTTTTGTCTTAAGAACAACAACAGAGGGCCTCCCTGGTGGTGCAGGGGATTAAGATGCAACCTATAAAGCTGCAGCATGAGTTTGATCCCTGGGCAGGGAGCAACCCACATGTGCTGCAGACCTCTCCTGACTCATCCACTGCTACCCTCAGCAGTGTTTCAGTTAGTCTGCCTGTCCTGTTCCCCTCTCTGTCTTTGGTGAATCCTCTCACCCCCCACACCTCTGCCCTGTACCCCAGCTCTTCTATGTATAAATAAATAAATCTTTAAAAACAACAACAACAACATAGCAACCTTAACAGCTGAGAAATAAGAGGGAGTGGGGTCCAGGAATGGGAAAGGAACAGAGGGCTTTATCATGTATAAATTCTCTGGCTGATCCAAATGTTTAGCTGATCCTTGAACTATGCTAACCAGCCCATCTGAGGCCAAAATAACTGACAGAGATTTATGCTTCTGCAAGGGTGATAATTTGTCTCGGTTCCTCTGGAGTGTTAAAAGTTCTGTGGTCTGGAAAACTCCTCAATACCAGGCACACTGAGATATTTGGTTACCTTAGCTGCTGCCCATTACAGGTGAGATAGAATTTGAGTTTGAGTCTCAGCAAATTAACTTCATGCTTTAAAAGGTAAAATAAACAAAGAAAGACATCTGTATTCTTCAGAGGAACATAACAGAATCCAGAAATGCTGTAACATGTTATTTACAATGCCAGAATTAATAATCCAAAAGTATTTGGTCATATGAAGAAGCAGGAAAATGTGACACATATTAAAGAGAGAAAGAAATTCATCATGATTGATCCCAAGATGTCATAGCTATTGGAACAGAAAGAACAGGGATCTTAAACAACTATAATAATTACACTCTAAGATGTAAAGAAAAAAATTCTGTGAAGAACTAACAAATCTCAGTTGAAAAACTAAAGAACAAAATGGAAATTCTGGAACTAAAAGCTATAATATCTAATAGAAAACTCATTGGACAAGCTTAACAACTTAAGATGTCAGTCAGGGGAAAAAATCAATTACAATACAAAACACAACACAACACAAAAAACAAAAACAAACAGACAATTACAAACCAGAGACATCCTGCAGGGGAGGAGGAGTGAGAGGGATCAGAGAGAGGGAGGGAGGACCACAGGGGACTGTGGGATGGTCCACGCATGCATTAGTGAAGGAAATTCTGTGGGGACTACACCTGAGTGGGGGGAAGCAAACATTATTTAAAAATGAACACTGGGGGGCCTCCCCGGTGGCGCAGCAGTTGAGCGCTGGGCTGCGAAGCTGCCCGCAGCCTCTGAAGCACCAGTTCGATCCCCGGCTGCCAGGCAAGGGTCCCACATGGCACGCAGACCTCTCCTGCCACCTGCTGCTCCCCTCAGCAGTGTGTTTCGTCAGTCTGCCTGTCTGTTCCCCACTCTGGCTCTGGTGAATTCTCTCACCCTCCCACGCTTCTGGCTGTACCCAGTGCTTGTATAAATAAATGAATAAATCTTTAAAAAAAAAAGAGCAACACATATTTAAAAAAATGAACACTGATGTAAAAAATATATTAAAAAATTAAAAAATTAAATTAAAAAAATTAAGATGTCAGAAGAAAGAGTAAGTAGGTTTGAAGATATGTCAATGAAATTATTCAATCCAAACGAGAGAGAAAAACATTAAGTGGGGAAAGAACAAAGTGTTAGGGAACTGTGAAGTCTAATAGACATATAATTGAAATCCTAGAATGAAAGTAGAAAGAGAATAGAGCAGAAAAAGTATTTGAAGAAATAATGGCTAAACATTTCTCACATTTGGTGAAAAACTTAGTTTTATAGATAAGAAGTTCAGTGAACCCAAGTAGAATAAATTCAACTAAAATCACACCTAAGCATATCTTACTCTAACTGCTGAACCGAAGTAGAGAAAATGTTGAAAGCATTCAGAGAAATAAAATATAATAGAAAACAACAATACAGAAAAATCTCTGACTTCCCATCAGAAGCAATAGAGGCTAGAAAATACTGAAATGCCATCTTTTTTTTTTTTTATAAAGAGGCAACAATGCATTTCTATTGTGGTACTAACTAAAGCCTGGAGTTTATTTATTTATTTATTTGTTTGTTTATTATTTATTTATACATACAAGCGCTGGGTACAGTCAGAAGCGCGGGAGGGTGAGAGAATTCACCAGAGCCAGAGCGGGGAGCAGAGCAGGTAGAAGGACCGAAGTACACTGCTGAGGGGAGCAGTGGGCGGCAGGAGAGGTCTGCGCGCCATGTGGGACCCTCCTCCGGTGGCCGGGGAGCAGCCGGGGATCGAACCTGCGCCGCAGAGGTTGCGGGCAGCTTTGCAACCCAGCGCTCAACCACTGAGCCACTGGGGAGGCCCTGAAATGCCATCTTTAAAGTACTGGAAGATAGCTGTCAATCCAGAATTCTCTATCAAGTAACAATAGCCCTTAAAATTGACAAAATAAAGATATTTCCAAATAAGTGAAAACTAAGCAAAGTTGTCACCCAGTACTAAAATTGCTAAAGGAGGGCCTCCCTGGTGGCACAAGGGTTAAGACACAACCTATGAAACTATCTGCAGCCACTGGAGCACAAGTTCGATTCCTGGACAGCCAGGGTGCTACCCACATGGCGCAGCAGACCTCTCCTGTCTCACCTGCTGCTCCCCTCAGCAGTGTATTTCAGTAGATCTGCCTGTTCTGTTCCCCACTCTGTCGCTGGTGAATCCTCTCACCCTCCACACCTCTGGCCTGTACCCCAGCTCTTGTATGCATAAATAAATAAATCTTTTAAATAAATAAATGAATAAATAAAATTGCTAAAGGAAGCTCTTTAGCCTGAAGAGAGATGATACCAGAGGGAACTCAGGTGTTCATGAGAAAATGAAAAGCACCATTAAGAGAGTAGGAGGAGGGGAGGGGAGGGCAAGAACACAGGGAAGGGAACACAATGGTCTATGGTGGCAGAATGTGGGTGAGTTGGTGGTGGGTGCACTCTGGTGGTAATATCTGATGGGGGCACCCCAATATTATCTCAGTCAAAAATAATTAAAAAAAGAAAAACACCAGAAATGTTAACTATGTAGGTAAATACAAAGTGCTAATTCTTTCCTCTTTATTTATTTATTTATTTATTTTAAAGATTATTTATTTATTTATTTATTTATACAAGCACTGGGTACAGTCAGAAGCATGGGAGGATGAGAGAATTCACCAGAGCCAGAGTGGGGAGCAGAGCAGGCAGAAGGACTGAAGTACACTGCTGAGGGGAGCAGCGGGCGGCAGGAGAGGTCTGTGCTCCGTGTGGGACCCTCCTCCGGTGGCCAGGGAGCAGCTGGGGATCGAACTGGCGCTGCGTCACCGGGGAGGCCCTCTTTCCTCTTAATTTAAACTTTTAAGATACAATTACTCTGTAGATAATTCCTTTTATTCTCCCTGGGTCAGTTTTTAGGGAGGCTATGGAAAAAGAATAGTCGTCTAAAGAGGAAATTTGCTGCAAAGTCTTTCAAAATGGTTTCCTTGCTAAATTTGGAATGCTCAAATCTGAAAAAGTTTAAGTAGCTAACATTTACAATTCTTTTCTTTTCAGATATAAAACCAAACGTGGAATTGAAAAGCACTCAGGAGCAGTCAGTGGCCACAGGTAACGTCAAGTCTTCTTTCTCTAGAAATATACCTTTGCTGCAATTATCAAAGAAAAGGAAATATCCTGATTGCAGAAAAAATGCTATGGGAATGTGGTTGTCTCTTCCCGGTGCAAAAAGAACTCACCCATTTCGATCATATAAACTCTTTGGCATCATAGAGCCAAACTACACTCCACCTAATTTTGGTCACTGTTGTTTTTAAAAATATTTTTAAAATGTTTTCAATTGATTAGTTTAATGAAGACAGTTTGGTTGAATAATAGAGTGGCTTGTTTTTGAATGATTTTCACTCTAAAACAGTGGTCAGTAAAGGGCCAAATAGTAAATATTTTAGACTTAGTGGGCCACATAGGGCTCTGTTGCATAGTCCTTTTTATGGTTTTTATAACACTTTAAAACTGTAAAAACCATTTCTACCTCCTGGGTTCAAACCAAAATAGGCCATGGTTAGATTCAGCCTTCAGGCCATAGTCCGCTGACCCCTGCTCCATAATAAATTATAAACATTAAAAAAATTATTTCCTTAAAATAACTTCTATGTTTTCTCCATTGGTTAACTCACTTTGATTTAGTCAAAACTAATGTTATAAAATTTACCACTAAAGTACCTTTTTGTGTTAATGTGAGTTGTAGCTTCATGTTTTTATTGAACCTGTAACTCATTTTAGTTTCAGGTATGCCCTTTGTGTTAGTCAGGTTTGAGAAAAGCGAACCACTGTTTAGAACAGTGCCTTGGAGTTAGATGTAACAGTTATATAGAGTGAGTTACATCACTCTCAGAGTATATGTTGCAAAATACAGAAATTAGAAACTTGGCCTATTTATAAATCAAAACATGAGTCCATTATGATCACCTTGTCAGGACCTCTTAGTCATGGATTTAATGAAATATGTTTCCATTTTACCCCCCCATTCTAATGGAAGTCCTACTTCAGGCGTTCAGTCATGACTGTTGCCGACAGAAACACCACTTCTGAGTGTCTCCTAGTCTCCAGCCCAGCTTAAATGTCACAGGATTCCATGTTTTGTTTGTTGCATGTAGTTGGTACTCAGTAAATAATTTTTTGAAGATTGAGAATGTCAAATGTATAATTTTTCAGTCCATGTCTTTTGTTACCATCTTTTTGTTAAGCTACCATGCTTATCTGTGAAATAATTCGTTATGTTGTTCCTCTTCTCTTCCAATGCTGTCAGTGTATATGGTACAAAATCACATTTCCACAAGCTTGACTTTTTTTTTTTTAGTTTTTTTTTAAAATATTTATTTATTTATTTGTTTATTTATTTATACAAGCGCTGGGTACAGTCAGAAGCGCGGGAGGGTGAGAGAATCCACCAGAGCCAGAGGGGGGAGCAGAGCAGGCAGAGGGACCAGGGTACACTGCTGAGGGGCAGCGGGCGGCAGGAGAGGTCTGTGCGCCACCACAAGCTTGACTTTTAACAAGTTTGCTATTTATGTGAACACGCTTTTATTTTGTCTACACCCTTTTATTATAAACTCCTCCCATGACACTTTATTTTTCCCTTAATCTCTTGTCCAAGTCAACATTATAGACTTGTGCGATCTCTTGTCCGAGTCTTGCATTATAATTGTGAGCTTGTCTTATCTAATATCTGCTAAGTATAAACTCCTTGAGTGTAGGAATTATGTCTTATTCATATCTGTAATTTTGTTGGTACTCCAGAATGCCTGGAGAAATAAAAGAACTTGGGAGCCAATATGTTCTCCACGGAGTCACATACATAATGTGAACAGAAAGGGAAAATAAGATTTAATATACTGAAGCTTACAGGCTTCCTCCCAGGAAAGCATCTTTCCAAACTGGGTTTTGCCAGTATTTTCAGGCTCACTATTTCTAATCACTAAATACTAAATACTAGTACTTTTTATTTATAGACAACTTTTGCATCCTACTGAATATTGTGGGACATACTAGAGGAGAGAAAACTGCTGTCCAGATGAAACTTGAGTACATTTTAATTCAGGTGAAAGAACTATTCCAGAAAATCATGTCTAATGGAAAGGTTCATGACCCTGGGCATATTTCTAAACCTCAGGAGTTGGCACATTTATCCCACTTGGTGTATATGTGAAAAGGACACTATCACAAAGGGTTGCATGAAGCTGAAATGGGAGTTTACTTACATGTTTATAACAGTCCTTTCAAGTTAACTGAATAATTAAATTTTTTTTTATCTTCTAGAAGGTCCAGTGATTGTGAATGACTATGACTTAACCAAACCTCATGAAATCGAAAATGTGGACAGTGCAGAAGGCCCAGCCAATGAAGATGAGGATATGGGAGGTGAGTCATAATGTACAGACTAAAAGCCAATGGTTGTAGATGCGGTTGAAGCAAATTAGGAAAAGTTGCACTTGTGAGTTGAATTGGGAGTAATACAACTTTGTTCACTTTACAGATATCTACATTTAATAACTCACTATAGGATATCTACAAATTTTAAGAATTTAAGGTGTTCAATGTTCAGGTTATACTAACTTCATTTAAAAAATAATGCTTATTTTACTCTTTTCTGTTGTAAAAATAATACATGTTCTTTTTTTTTTGAATTTTTTTTTGAGTTTGTTCCAAATTTTTTTCAATTTTATTTTCATATTCCTCATACAATTGCAACCCACTTATTTTGACCCCATTTCCTCCTTTTCCCACCTCCCCCAAATAATACATGTTCTTATAGAGAGTTTGGGGTGTTTTCCAACACCAGTTGCCAATTCTCCGATTCTCCAGATACTGACTGGGTGCCCAACAATGCATTTCTATTGTGGTACTAACTAACGCCTGGAGTCAGCACCGGACCCGCAGGTTCAGGCTGAGTCCCGCAAGCCTTCCCTCACTTCAGACACCAGTTGAACGTACTGTGTCCCCACCTCAGGTTACCTGTACTTCTAGCCACTCTGGCTACAGATTCCAGGTTTCCCACAGGGGACTCCCCCTCTGGTTCACTGATTTGCTAGAATGACTCAGAAAACCTAAGAAAGCAGTTTATTCACCACTAGCAGTTCATTATAAAAGACACAACCTAGAAACAACCAAATGGAAGAGATGCACAGAGCAAGGTGCAGGGATGGGGACGCAGGGCTTCCCTGTTCGCTCTGGGCACGCCGCCCTCCTCTCTCCTGGGATCACAGTGTTCACCCACAAGAAGCTCTCTGAATCGCTCTCTTCAAGGGTTTTTATTAGAACTCAAGCTCTGGTTCCTCCTCCCTCCCCAAAGGTCAGTGGGTGGGGCTTAAAGCTCTCACCCGCAAATCATTTGGTCTTTCTGGAGACCAGCCTATCCTGAGGCTCTGGGGGCCCCAATCTAAGTCACTTCATTAGCATAAAATCAGTTGAAGGGGATTTGTATGAATAACAAATGACACTAACCTCTGGAGAAGTTCCATGGGTTTTAGGAATTCTGTGAGGACCTGGGGACAAAAACTACCAATGTGGAAACTTCATAGACATATAAAGGAAAAAGAAAAACCCACCCCTATCCTAATGTCCAAAGGCAGTCTATATTTCTTTGTTAACTTATAGTATACTTGCGGACATTTTTGTGAATTTTGAGCATTATATTTGATACTAATGTTGCGCACATTTAATACTGACTTTGACGTAGATATATCTGATCACTGTTGCTCTAGGAATGTTGCTCATATCTGATCTTAGATATCATTTCTTCAGAGACTCCCTGACAACCCAGTCACTATTTTAACACAGGATCCTATTTAAATTTTCTGCGTGGCACTTACCAGGGGTAATTTTGGATTTTTGTTGATTGTGTCTCTCCCTCCATGAGCCAGGTTCTTGGACTGTCTTTTTTACTGCTGGGTATTTGCAGTACCTGGAATAGCACCTAGCCCACAGTAGGTGTGCAATAAATATTTGTTGAGTAAGTGACTAAATGAACACTTTAGGTTAATATGTGTGTGTGTGTGTTTCTTAAAGGAAGAAAATAAAAAGAAAAAAAAATAATTCCTCGGGCGCTTTTGTCAGATTCTTAAGGGATCAGGAAATAGTGTTCTATATCTAAAACTTCTGAGATTCAAATCACAGCTTCAACTAACATTCCAGCTCTGCCTAACTATACATTAATTTGTACCCGTTCTTAACCACAACGACTGAAAAATGCTGCCTGGCACAGGATGTGGTCATTTGTGCTGAGGAAAGGCATATGGTGTTCTACAAGCTTCATGCAACTTCTTGAAGGTGTCATTCATGGAGTTAGACTCAGAATGAGGCGAATGATAACCATGCCTTTAGCTCTCATTTTTCTGCATTCTGGTGGGTAATGCCTGACAGTTTATGTTTGAAATGATACAATTTTTGATCTGGGAATGTATAATTTATGTTAGAATTTGTTGTGGGTTCAGAAGTAAGCCTGTGAGTTTTATGTGTTCAGGTCATTAAGGGAGAAAAAGAGTTAAATACTCAAACATAAACAAGAAAACAATTTCCATCCAACAATAGGAATTGAAAACAAATATTCTAAAAACTCATGTTAAATAACAGAACTTCAACTGAGGCAATTTTAAAACTCTAATGGGCTTCATTGAATGATTCAGATTGGGCAGCATCTCATCTAGCAGGTGGGAAGAGTCTCTGAAAAGCTGTACAAGAACCAAAGGTTTCAGAGGCAGGGAGGAAAAGACAAAGGAAGGGGGAACGATTTCAGGCTTAGATAACCTACTCATGGGGAGTGAAAAGAGGCTTGTGTAGCAGATTATCTCATCCTCCTTTGGAGAATGGAAAAGATCACCTCATTGGTGCTCACCAGAAAATTCCATGCTGGCCACTTAGGACTACATTCCCCAGGGAAGCTGAATCTAAAGTTCAGTTAGAGTTTAAGTCCTGGTGAGCTTGGCACAAGCATTTCCATCTTGGTCCTGTCATTTTCTCTTTAATGCTGTTTGGTGCAGCATGCCTCTGGGAATCCATACTGTAGGTGGCAGGGCTCTGCATTTTGACCCCCCTCCACAAGTACTTTCAAGGGGAAGAGGTTCTGTCTCTGCTCCACTCGTTTGCGGTCACCGTGGACTGCTGTAGCTGTGTAGGCCACGTCTATCTCCTTACCTATGTGCATGAATTAATGGGGCATCTGTGTGTGTTTCTTGGGTGCTAGGGATCTGGGAGTGTCATGCAGTTCTTGCAGAGACTAGAAGATATGATCGATCTAAATAATTTGGGAAAGAACCTGACTCATAAAGAAAGGAATAGGCTAACTTTAGTTTTAAAACATTAATTCATTATTTTATAACTGTTGTACTGTTGTACAAACTAACTATGATACTACTAATGTTGACACGTAATCTGGGTCATATACCGTTGGAAAGGGTTATGACCAGGGCCCTGCTTTTTAAAATGATATATCGTCAGGATGTGCAAGTTATACCTGCAAAATTATTAAATAATAGAATTGGAAAATAGCATTGCCTGAGAGAAGATATTCCAGTTGAATAATGAGTCACTCCTCAAATACACAGCTTCAAAACATCAAAACTAGGATTAGGGGGCCTCCCTGGTGGCGCAGCGGTTGAGCGCTGGGTTGCGAAGCTGCCCGCGGCCTCTGAGTTGCCGGTTCGATCCCCAGCTGCTCCCCGGCCACCGAAGGAGGGTCCCACATGGCGTGCAGACCTCTCCTGCCGCCCGCTGCTCCCCTCAGCAGTATACTTCGGTCCTTCTGCCCGCTCTGTTCCCCGCTCTGGCTCTGGTGAATTCTCTCACCCTCCCGCGCTTCTGACTGTACCCAGTGCATTTATAAACAAAACAAACAAACAAATAAATAAAACATGCCTCTAAAAAAAAAAAAACTAGGATTATACATTTAAAAGCAATTAGAAAATTTAGCTCATGTAACATATTTAATATAGGAATGATTGTAAACAATTTTAAAGCATATTTAGTTCAACGGAAACATTTTTAAAATATCCTCTGAAAATTACAGAAACTAAGACCTGCCTTGGGATGTTTTAAATTCAGAATAATTGCAATCATGTATTGTATAATTTACATATTAAAGAAAAGAGATGTTATCTAAGTTTCCAGCTCTTAGGAAATAGTTCCATACAAAATTTCAGACTCTGATAGAATATTCAGAAATATTCAATTTTTCTCTTGTGGAAAGACAGACTAAATTTTTAAGAGAAAATGTCTTTCCCCAACTAGAATTGTTGTTTGAGAAAAAAAATTATTATTTGGCAAAGACTTAAAAGGTATTAACATTTAAAAAGGTGTAACATTTAACATATCAGTTTCCCACCTCACAGATACTCTGATCATTTTTTAACAACATATTCCTAGGATCCTAGTGCAAGAGTTGGCAGACTTTTCCTATAAAGGGTGAGACAGCAAATGTCTTAGGCTTTATGGGTTGTTCTATTTCTACTGCAGCTCCTCAGCCCTGCTGCTGGAGTACAGTAGCCATAGAAGATACGGGCTTGAGCGGGTGCGGCTGGGTGCCAGCAAAGATCTTCCCTCACTTATCATGGGTGTGTGTCCTGATAACCTCACCCTACTGTAAATTGAAAATATGGTAAATTGAAAATAGTTGAAATACATCTAGCCTCCTGGACACCCTGGCTTAACCTAGCCTGCCTTGAATGTGTCCTAAACACTTACATTAGCCTGTAATTGGGCAAAATCATCTAAAGCCTATTTTATAATAAGGTGTTGAATATCTCATCTAATTTATTGAAAACTGTACTGAAAGAGAAAAACAGTCTGGAGAGTGCCAGTTGTTTATCTGGTGAGTGCATGGCTGACGGGAAGCTACTGCTCTCCATCAGTATTGCTAGACTGGGAAAAGAGCAAGATTCAAAACTGGTAACGTGATTTCTATCAAATGCATATTGCTTCCCACCATAGTAAAGGCAAAAATCAGAAGTCAAAGCATCTGAAGTGGAGGGAGACCGTCTGTAAATTTATTTACGAAAATAAGCATTGGGTCAGAGTTGGCCTGTGAACCATAGTTTGCTGACTCCTGGCCTAGTGTGTACATTTATTGTGTAGTGAGTTAAGAAAGCTTTGATTCTTGAAAGGAACAACATTCATAGAAAAATTTCAAAAAAGCCTCAATGGGATATTTATGGGGACTCCCCTGAGGAGTGAAATCAAATACTGTACAAAAATGAAAAACAATGTAAAAAATTTTTTTTGAATTAATAAAAGAAAAAAGCCTCAATGGGGAGTCTAACACTATTTTTTTTAGCTAAAAACATGTGACAGCTATATGTATGTGTTATATAAGATATATACACACATATGTAATGTTTGTCATACACATATAGCTTTATAGCATGACA